TGGAGAGGCAATCAGAAGTGACTTTGAAAAAATAATAATAATGCTGTGAGGTATTAAATGTGTTTGCATTCTCCATCAGTTTATCCTTCCTCCCTCAACTAATGTTACCCATGTTCCTGGGTGTGATGTTTGGGTTCTTTAAAACACAATTCAAATCCCTTCACTTTTAAATACTTTAGATACTTTTAAATACTTGTGTGTTAGATTTGATTGTCAGTGAATAAGACTGGATTTTTTGTACATGTCTACATTAGTTTAGTTAATATTTGTATTCAATATAATAATAATAACGATCAATGCCTCATGCTACATATAGTCTGTGGGGTTTTTTGTATGCTGTCTGTGATGCAGCATTATAGAGGTACTTCTGATCATCTGATTCTACCAGGATCACAATACCATCTGCTCATCTGCAAGCTCTCTTCAAACCAATGTTCAAACCAAAATTCTCCCATATCACCCCTGTGTTAAAATCCTTGCACTGGCTTCCGGTTGAGTATAGATATCAGTTTAAAATCCTCACTTTTACATTCATGTCCCTACAAGGTGAGGCCCCCACTTATATCACTGAGCTTCTCCAACCCTACTCTCCACACCGGATCCTTAGAGCCACTGATTCCATGGACCCGTTTGAAAACGAAGGGGGATCCCGCTTTTCAAACCTTGGCTTGAATATTATGGAACAGTTTACCTCCCCCGCTACGCACCATCAACTCTGTAGCTACTTTTAAAAAACAACTCAAAACACATCTGTTTAGACAGGCATTTAGGTAATATTCATGTGTAGTGTACTGTTTTAGTGGATATGCTATTATACCCTCTTTATAGTGTTTTATTTTTCGTTTGGTTTGCTTTTATTCCCTCGTGAAGCACTTTGAAATAACTTCCTGTTTTAAAAAGTGCTGTATAAATAAATTTTACTTACAATGTTTTATTATCTGAAAGAGGAACCATTACATCCTCGAAGATAAAAACAGCAAATGAATTATTCCAAATACCAAAAAGGTAAATTATACATGCAGTGCATCTGGAAAGTATCCACAACACTTGTTCCACATTTTGTCACGTTACACCCTTATTTCAAAATGGAAATACATTCAGTTTTAATTCACGTACACAATATTGCGGGATTGGTGACTTTTTACTTAGAGTGCTTTTAGTTTTTGGGGTGCTGTGCAGCCTGATATAGGGAGAGTCTGATCAGACCCAGCTGCCCTGCTAGGCTTCCTGGCACTGCCCCACCCGGCCACAACGAGTGAACTTTTTGGCCTAAATGCAAAGTGTCCTCTCTCAAGGAAATTGGGCTCATCATCTGGCCAATACCATCGCTGGCACACATCCACATGCTGTGAGGATGTGAGATCAAGGGAAAAATGAATGCAGTCATGTACAGAGAGCCTTGATGATAACCTGCTCCAGAGTGCTCACTAGGCCGGACTTGACCGAAGGTTTATATGCCAAGAGCACACAGCCAAGATAACAGTGGAGTGGCTTCAGGACCACAGCCCCGACCCAAGTGATCATATCTGGAGCGATCTGAAAATGGCTGTGCAATGACGCTCTGCATCTAACCTGATGCAGCTCGAGAGGTTATGCAAAGAAGAATGGAAGAACCTGTTGAAAAATAGTTCGACTTGAGGCTTTAACATGCAACATTTGGAGTTAGGCTGTATAGCTTCTGCTTAAACACAAAAACATCTGGTTGATAAAACTCTTGATCACCTCCCTTACATGACAAAATGACAAACAAGTAAAGTGCTGAGAATACTTTTGTGATGTATTGGGTAAAGCGTTCAGGGTCACCTGATCTATTCCTGCCAATAAGCTTTAAAAAAATGTAAGCGCCCAGTTTGTCTCCCAAATACAAACTGGGCACTGGTTCCACAGAGAAACTTGAAGCCTCTACCTCCCGTTCTACTGTTAACCCTAAAACACTAATGTCAGGTGATTTTCACCCACGTAAAACTGATAGTGTTACAAAACTCCACATTAATATAGTTTTTTGCTCTCACAAGTAAACTGAGAGTAAAGTGTTGTATTGAGGTGATGTGGTTCTAAGTAAGATGGGGCCTGTTACTTCATGTAGTATTGGCAGTTGGGCATGGAGGACCAGATCTTTGTCATGAGCTTATCTTTTAGGTGGAGAAGCATTCAGTGCGTTCGATGCATTACCTGTCCTTTGGGATTGATACCTAATCTCACAGTTGGACATGCTGGTATCTCCCCCTGACCTGATTTAAAATCTGTGAAATTAAAAAAAACACTCAATGATGTAAAAAATTTAAATTTCAAGGAAAAACCCCTGAAATTGGCTAGCATAAATTCTTATAGTGTCCACTAATGGAAAAGGGGTGGAACAATTACTGTTAAATGAAAGCGTCCAAACTGAACCACTGAACAACAGCAGCTTTAATCAGGGAGGTGATCAAGAGTTTTATCAACCAGACGTTTTTATGTTTAAGCGGAAGCAATACAGCCTAAGTCCAAGTACACATTGTTTAATAGTGTTTGAGTACAGAAAATGGCTTCTGGGACACTTAGAAATTACAAAACATTTTGGGAAAGCTACAAACATCAGCCACACTTGAATCTAGGATTCCATCCATCTATCTTCTTCCACTATCCGTGGCCAGGTTGCAGGGGCAGCAACCTAAGCAGAGTGGTTCTGCTCTGAGCCCCTAATTCCTCACCCTATCACTAAGGGAGAGGCCAGACACCCTTCGGACAAAGCCCATTTCCACCGCTTGTATCCACGATCACGTTCTTTCAGTCACGGCACGTGGGCATATGTGATGGTAGGGATGTAGATCGACTAGTAAATTGAGATCTTCGCTTTTACACTAAGCGCTCTCTTCCCCAAACTGGACCAGTACAACATCCGCATCACTGCAGCCGCAGCACCAATTCGTCTGTTCCCGTCACTCGTCAACAAGACCCCAAGATATTTAAATCGCTCCACTTGGGGCAGGAACTCGTCTCTGACCCGGGGTGGGGAATCCATCGTTTTCCAGCTGAGGACCATGGCCTCAGATTTGGTGGTGCTGATTCTCATTCCCACTGCTAGGATTCCCCAAAGTACTAAAAGGTTAGGAGTTGATTACATACACACTCTATGAAATACTCAAATAGAGGTAAACATTCGCCAAAAAATGAGCTGGACACTGTCATACAGTAGAAATGCCCAATCAATCTGAAATGGAGAATAACTCAAGTGTTACCATCTGTAGGATTAGATTTTGATTTTGTTTAAAGACAGAAGAATAAATGGAGAGGGCTTAGAGAAAAGATAGCAAAATAGTACTTCCTAGTGAGTTTAGAAAATGTGTTGCTGTTACTCGACTACAGGTCTTGGTTGAACTCTTTCTAATCCCTTTAATCTCCCCCTAATCCCCTCCATGTTGGGGGCATACTTGTGGGTTGCAAAATGGTCCAAACACACTCCAGTGATACAGCTCACACAAGCAATGAAATGCAACACTTTTGAGGGTTTTGGAAGACACCTTTAGGATTCCTATATTTGATATTTGCGCTTGTGCACGGTTGTCCCAAAGAATTAACTACTATGGTAATAAATCTGATTTCTGACTTTCTAAATGCTGCTTCTGTGCTTAGATGCAGAAGCTTTTCCCTGCATTCTCTAAGTCTCTCTTTCTCTGCATCACAGTGGCACTCAGTTGCAGTGTGAAGAAGAGTAATCCAGCAGAAGCTCTTCAGATACTCTCCTCTACACGCCTCAGTCTCAGGAGTCTGGCCACCAAAGCCAAGGTAACATTAAGAGACCCCCACTTAGCACGAAGCAGATATCTGCCTCACTTTATAGACAGTTTTCCTGATCAGGAACTAGGAGGAGGATTGAGTTTAGCCTGTCCCACTGTGTGTGTTCTTACTGTAGCAATTGCTCCTATAGGACCTCTTTCAGTGATGTTTTCGGGTTGTTCCTACTGCTTGTCAAGTACTTCTGACCTGCCCTGAAAAATTAAACACTAAACCTTGTTTGCACCTATTTTGCATTTCCCTTTGTTTACGGACATTTAATGTATGTTGTATACATATTAGACGCTGATATTAAAAGATAAGTAAATTTTCATACCATCCATATAAGTAAAAGCTTAGGTTTAGGAGTGCTATGATCACTGATTCATTTTCTTTCTGTTCTTGGCTCTCCATGATGTTAGTAAGAATGGGCATCCCTATATGGTCATTCTAGGTGTACAGCTTTGGCTATGAGCAAGAAAGCCACACCTTCCTGCCTCACTTCACCATGGGCAGCCAATCAGAAGAAAAGTTGGCTTGAAGAAATGCAGACCTTAAAAGGGGGCAAGACTAAATTACTTTCATCAGACACAGGGTGAAGTCAATGGTTGCATCAAGGCTTAGTATAAGATAAATAAGGATTATTTTAAACTGCAAAATAACAATAAGGTATCTGGAACCTCTTTAGCTCGTGGTCTTCACTCAGTAAGTGACGACGGCAGCACATGCTCATGCAGATGTTGTCAGCATGCAGCCTGACACAAAATCTTTACCAGGTTGTGACACCATTCAAAGCATCTGTTCTGCCTGAACAAACTCCTCCAGCAGGTGATCAAGACAAATGTCAGACGTGAAGATTTAGACACAGGCGTTTGGGTTGTTAAGTCGTTCTTCTCAGTGGTATAAGTTAACATTAATGACTTTATACTTGACTCTTCCATTGTATATCGTCTTCCAGCAAATCCACACAGACGTGGCCACAGGGAGGATCCATGCTGAGCTGCAGGACGGCGTTACTGCTGTGGAGCAAGTCATCACCGAGCTGCAAGATCTGAGTGGGAAGCTGCGTAACCAGTCACAGTGACCATCCATCTCTAATATGCCCCTTTTGTGGCAAAAGAGACAACCTTTGGTTCTCAGGGGTCCTCAGTAAGACTGAGTAATAAAGACCCAAACCAGCTCTACACCTGCATTTATCATCACAGTGTATTACTGAACCTGTTAAATAAAGCAAGCCAAAGGACTGAATTTGTAATCCTATTTTTATACCTTTATGTCCACTTTGAAATGTAAACACTCACTGGGTGGCATCTTAATATACAATGTTAAAAATTTGAATGCTTGCTTTGATTTTTTTTGTTGTAAATGAAGTGATAAAATCACCTTTATCTGTGATAAACAAAGTGATCAGTTGACAGATTTTGAAGCTGCATCCATACAGAATAGGCTCTCGGGACAGGATACAGCTTTAGGTCATCTGTATCTGTAAATATTTAGATCCCTCTCTCATCCACTGAAGAGACACATGTAAATGTAGTAAAAGAAATAGACCTAGATCGTAAAAATGTGATTGGTACAGTAGGTTACTGTACCCATTGTGGTAATTTCTGCAGAACAGAACATGGAAGAAAAATCGAGCCTCTATTCCAACTTCTTTGTCGGACATATTTCAAGATGCATACTCTAAAAATCTTAAATCTAGGCTCTTTCTTTTTTTATATACCTATTCAGTTCAATTTCATTTTATTTATACCTGCTATCAGCAAGCACTGGGAAACACGACAGTGGGAAAGAAAAACTCCCTTTTAACAGGAAGAAACCTCCAGCAGAACCAGCCTCAGGGAGGGATGGCCATCCACCACGACCAGTTCGGGTGATGGGAGGAAGACAGGGAAGAGAGCCAGAGATTAATAACAAGTGACGATTCAGTGCAGAGAGGTCTATTAACACACAGTGAGTGAGAAAGGTGACTGATTCCCCAGCAGGCTACACCTATTCCAGCATAAATAAGGAAGGATTCAGGGTCTCCTGATCCAGCCCTACCTCATCTGAAGTAAATCCGCAGTCCGAGAGGGAAGTGCACTAATGGGGTGATGTGGTACTACAAGGTCATTAAGATAAGATGGGGGCTGGTTATTCAAGACCTTGTATGTGAGGAGCAGGATTTTGAATAAATGAAGGGAAGCCAATATAGCTCTATTTGTGCTAAAATAATTTTATAGTCAACTAGGAAATGGCACTGATCTTAACCAGCCTGGAATAAACAAACTTGTCTTGTCTTCCCCTTTCAGCCAATAACACATGTATGTATCCAAATAGTTGCTAAGACTAGATTTGTATGAGGTGTGTGCTATTTTATAAACTGCCACTAGCTTAACAACTTGCATACATAAACTTTACATGCTAGTTGGTAAATGGAAAATAGACTGGTTATATAGCGCTTTTCTACTCGAGCACTCAAAGCGCTTTATACAATAGTAACTAACAGATTAGTAAAGTCCTATAAATGTACACATCAAAGCTGAAGTCAAATTATTTTCTATTGATTTACATTAAAGAAATGATCCAAAAGGCACAACAGTAGCACAACAGTACAGTGACTCATATTAAGAAAGGCGAGGCTGCTATTAAGGTGCTTATGTCAGCAACAACGTGATAGATACATAAATGGCAGCAATTAAAAAAACATCCAAGCAGAATGTTTTATTATATCGGAGTTGTTTTGATATTGTAGCTGTAGTGTAAGTTCTTTCTAGAATAACTCAAAATGATTGACTTTTTCTGTCCTTCATGAATATTTAAGTGAAATTGATTCCTAACACCAAGTCTTATCTCTTAAAGAATTGGTTGCATAAAGAAAAATTGTATACTAGAGAAGCAGACTTACCTTTCCCTTTAATCTCCTAACTACCTAAGTTACTCAGCTCTCGAACACCACCTCCACTCATTGTGTTCTCACTAATAAAAAGGCTATTAAAAACCATGAGCCATGCTCTGATGCTCTGCGAGATCATTTCCCAACTCATCCGACATGGTGAGCACACACACACGCATCCCATTTCCCTGCAGTTCATACAGGGAGGAGACCACCATTTGTTTCCTCAACTAGAAGAAAAATGACCTTGACATTGCTCAGGTTTTTTATCTCCCTTCTTTTTTCAGTGTATTGGAGCTCGTGTTTTATTTTTCTCTGCCCATTTGTCACAAGAGCCAGAACCTCTGTTTTGAAAGTATTACCACAGCGATAAGGACTTAAAGGCCCCTATAAATGGATGATCTCGCATGAGGGAGTGGAGCACTGTGACAATGTAAAATGTTGATGATTGCACTTTGACAGTTGCCTTCATGGTAAATTCTCTGAGCTAATATTCATGTTTGAATCCACATTTCCAGCCTCACTCCAGTTATTAAATAAAAATGGCAAGAAGAAATGACCTATTTTAGTCATCATTCATGACCACATTATATCACACCCACAGGATCTCTCAGCACTGGTGACTAATCTTCCTAATATGATTGTAAATTTACCAAATGCTATTATTAGATAAAGTCCACAAGAGTGATTTGCTGCTGTTCTGTCATCACCCAGAGGACAGCTTTGATAAAAGAAAACACAAGTTTGATTGTTTCGTGCCAGACTTGCGCTCCCAGAATTCCTGGTATTTCTCAGCAGGGGCTGCAAAGCTGATGTCAGCATTCACAAAACTCCCATTACCTCACACTTTAGTTCATGCGGCAGGGATATTATTTCAGTTGGACAAAATCTCTTCTCAAAAGAAGCAACAACAAAATCTGTCACTTGCACTTGAAAAACAAATGTTTACAGCATCCCAGAAGGTATTGTTTTCTTGAAATCGTGTAAATCAACTGGTTCTTATATGGTGTTTTTCTACTAAATATTAAATTGCAATTTGATCCAGTGTAGTGATATTATTGTTCTGTGTCTTTTGTATCATGTTTGATTAATAATTCAGAAAAGTTCTAAAACTTTTTTGTACAGAACCTTTCATACAAGCTAGTGCAGTTCGAATTGCTTCACTAATTATTAAACAAGCCGATAACTGAAAAGAACAGATGTTTAACAAAGCAATACATTCATAAATTCAAAGCAATATAAAGTAGATAAAATTAACAGAATTAAATAGTTGCATTATAAGCAGTTTAGAATTACAGTAGCATTCAATTCAATTTTATTTATACAGTGGCAAATCACAACAACAGTCGCCTCAAGGCACTTTATATTGTAAGGTAGACCCTACAATAATACATACAGAGAACAACCCAACAGTCATATGACCCCCTGTGACCAAGCACTTTGGCGACAGCGGGGAGGAAAAACTCCCTTTTAACAGGAAGGCAGAACCAGGCTCAGGGAGGGGCGGGGCCATCTGCCACAACCAGTTGGGGAGAGAGAAGGAAGACAGGATAAAGACGTGCTGTGGAACAGAGACAGAGGTTAATAACAAGTATGAATTAATCATAACGTTTAACTGTTTTTGTAGAGAAGGTGATCAGGCTTTTTATTCTTCTCCTATGTGATTATATGATACCGCCATCATATATATATGCACACACACACACACACACACACGTGTGTATATATACATATATATATACTAGGGGTGCAACGATACACAAAATTCACGATTAATAAGATGATGTCAGAGGAATTGGTGCACAAATTATCATCACTCACAGATCAGTGCTGTCGCTCTCTATACACAGTTCGCACGATTGCAAAGTGAAAGCAAAAAAACAAGCGCAAATTCAAACGC